TATTCCTTGATCCATATGAGGCAGACGTCATACAGGAGCTTCTGAGGAAGAAAGGAAAGAAGTTAGCATTATCCTTTAACTTCACTTTTCGCTATATAGATGATGTCCTTTCACTAAATAAATCAAAGTTTGGGGACTATGTTGAATGCATCTATCCCATCGAACTTGAGATAAAGGATACAACAGATACAGTTAAGTCTGCCTCATATCTTGACTTACATATAGACATTGACAATGAGGGTCGGTTGAAAACAAAACTTTACGACAAAAGAGACGATTTCAGCTTCCCAATTGTGAACTTTCCATTTCTATGTAGCAACATTCCAGCAGCGCCTGCATATGGAGTATATATATCTCCCAGTTGATACGATATTCCAGGGCTTGTATTTCCTTTCATGATTTCCTTGGTAGAGGGTTGCTGCTCACAAGAAAACTATTAAACCAAGAGTTCCAAGTGATGAAGTTGAAATCATCCCTTCGTAAATTTTACGGACCGCGCCATCACGAGTAGATAGACCGTTATGGAATATCTGTTTCCAAGATGAAGACGGATTTGAACAATTGTCGTTACTACAATTCCGTCCTCTACTCCTTGAATGTGGCATACCGAATTTGACTTATCGCCGGGTTTGTACTTACATGAGAAACAAGACGGGTGCCACATGTGGAGCAGGATCTGCTTACCCTTCCGGAGGACATGAGATCACCCCAGTTTTTGGTGGGGTTCTTGTCAGTCTTTATTTTTCTTTGTTGTGTTTTGTGTAATGTTGTTTGTCCTTTGGTCTTTATCTTTTTTTTTTGCCATGGTGATGTCAGTTTATTTTCGACTTAAAAACTAACTACAAATACAGTACAATATACAATTGTCTAGTTTCTGGACATCTGTACCCGAGGAAGGATATTGCCTACTAATAGTAAAAAATAAATCAGTTATGCACGTGCCTAATTTGTTAATATTTCCTCTCTCAAAGTTTGCAACATACACCTTAATTTTAACTCTCTCAAAGTTTGCAACATACACCTTAATTAATTTTAATATAATATACAGTCCCCAAAAAATTAGAAAATTGTCTTACCAATAGCTTAAAAACAAACTGTGATTTATATTTTGTTTAATTGGCATGATATAAACTATATTTTAGCAAAGAATTTTAAAAATACATCTTTTATATGAGGCGTGGATTTTGTAAAAATTTCAGGATATCCATAAATAATTGAGGACCTTCTGGACATTTCAGGACCTCCGTAACTCGATTTCAGGGTATCCTGAAATATTCAGGACATCCATATTTCTATTTCAGGGAATATCCTGAAATATTTTAAAACCGCCATATATCTATTTGAGGATATCCTGAAATAGTTTTGTACCTCCATAATTCGATTTCAGGATTTCCACAATTTGATTTTAAGGAAACCGTTAAATGATTTCAGGATATCCTTAAATCAAACAGTGTGAAGGTCCTGAGACGTCGAATAATGGAGGTCCTGAAATATTTCAAGAGCTACTTAAATGCAATAATTTTGACCAAATCCGCGCCTCATATCTATATTATCTTTGAAATGTCAGTTTCTTATAAACTATAATCTTTGATGGATTATTATCACAGGACTCTCATTAAAGCTCAGACCGTTAAAAGGAATGACTGAAATCATTCATACACATTTAAAAAAGAAAGACAGAAGATGTGGTATGATTGTCAATGAGACAACTTTCTATATGCGATCAAATGATGTAGAAGCTAGCAATTATAAGTCACTTTACAGCCTTCAACAATTAGCAAAACCCATACCGCATAGCAAGTTATAAAAGGCCTCTTCATGAGATACATAAAACAATTGAAACTAGAAAACTAACGGCCTGATTTATTTACAAAACAATAAACGAAAAAAATATAAGAGTATATGGCAGCAAAAGACAACCACTGAATTACAGGCACCTGACTTGGGGCAGGCAAAAACAAAATGTGGCAGAAGGTTTATATAAACTAAGAAAATGTGGTATAATTGCCATATGAGACCTCTTCACCACAGACCAAATGATGTAGAACGTAAGCAACTATAAGTCATCGTACGGCCTTCAACAATGAGCAAATTTCATATATATATATATATTCAAAGTATGATGCGCTTTTGCAAATAATTAAACATTTAATTTAGACCTTTATCTACCTTAATTAAAAGTCAGCTCAGCTTGAAAAAATCCTGCCCTTAGAAAAATTGGCATCATTATTTTCATAAATTAGCTAAAGCCGTCATATAGTATACAAAACAAGGACATACCATATGCTCTATTGAGCTTTCAACCGATATACAAGGTACAACAATAGATAGATACAAAACAAGCATGCAATAAACAAGGACATAACATAACCTCTATTTGGGCTTTTGACCGACATACAAGGCATAACAATACACTGATACAAGACAAGCATGCAATACACACGGATCGGCATACAAGGAACAACAATACACTGACACAAAACAAGCATGCAATAAACGGCAAGTACAGACATACAAGGCACAACAATACACTGACACAAACAAGCATGCAATAAACAAGGATCGACATACAAGGCACAACAATACACTGACACAAAACAAGCATGCAATAAACGGCAAGGACAGACATACAAGGCACGACAATACACTGACACAAAACAAGCATGCAATAAACGGCAAGTACCGACATACAAGGCACAACAATACACTGACACAAAACAAGCATGCAATAAACGGCAAGTACCGACATACAAGGCACAACAATACACTGATACAAAACAAGCATGCAATAAACAAGGATCGACATACAAGGCACAACAATACACTGACACAAAACAAGCATGCAATAAACGGCAAGGACCGACATACAAGGCACGACAATACACTGACACAAAACAAGCATGCAATAAACGGCAAGGACAGACATGCAAGGCACAACAATACACTGACACAAAACAAGCATGCAATAAACGGCAAGTACCGACATACAAGGCACGACAATACACTGACACAAAACAAGCATGCAATAAACGGCAAGTACCGACATACAAAGCACAACAATACACTGATACAAAACAAGCATGCAATAAACAAGGACATAACATAAGCTCTATTTGGGCTTTTAACCGACATACAAGGCGTAACAACACACTGATACAAAACAAGCATGCAATACACAAGGACATAACATAAGCTCTATTTTGGCTTTTAACCGACATACAAGGCGTAACATAACACTGACACAAAACAATAGATATAAGAAGATGTGGTATGAGTGCCAATGAGACAACTCTCCATCCAAGTCAAAATTTATAAAAGTAAACCATTATAGGTCAAAGTACGGTCTTCAACACGGAGCCTTGGCTCATATCGAACAGCAAGCTATAAAGGGTCCCAAAAATTACTAGTGTAAAACCATTCAAACGGGAAAACCAACGGTCTAATCTATATAAAAAACGAGAAACGAGAAACACTTATGAACCACATCAACAAACGACAACTGCTGAACATCAGATTTCTGACTTAGGACAGGTGCAAACAATTAAAGCGGGTTTAAACGTTTTAATGGTACCAAACCTTCACCCTTATCTGAAACAATAGTGTAACATCACAACATAGAAAGACACACTATAAAATATCAATTGAAATGGCTTAACTCAATCAAAAGACATATTAACATCAGTGAACATACACTGAACAAATAAATTTGATCTATGATACAATGTAAATAAAAAATAAACTGATACAAAACAAGCATGCAACATATCCAGAAATCAACGCAACTTTGCTTATTTGAATATTATACTAAAGAAATCGGATACGGGTCACGGAAATTATATTGAAATGATAGGGAATTTAGAAAAAATGTCTGTTTTAACTTTGATTTAAGTGAAATACAGGTTGCCGGGGCAGAAAATAAATATACACAACAATATAAACCATTTAAACGAAATATAATGACTGGCGTTGCAAAAATCAAGGTTCCTGCGCTATTTTAAAAATCATAGCGAGAGGCTTTTAACATTGCAGTATAAAATACAGGCTAAAATGGCTGAAACGTCAAATTTGCAAACTTCGTGTTGAAAATTGGCTAACAAGGTCATTAGAAATACAGGTTGCCGGGGTGAAACTTGAAACTTGAATGTCCAAAGAATAAGCAAGTCCAAACCTTGTATGTGTAGTCGTTGAACTCTAGGTTCCCACGTAAAGTTAAAATGCCTCTATTTCAAGAAGAATAAACTCACGAAAACACGAAAAATTCACTAAATTCGCGTTCATTGTTTTGATTTTGACCGCCTGACAACTTTACGGAAATATCAGAGTGATTATAAACAAGGACTCTGTGACGGGCAACTTATAATATCCGTGTTTTAAAGATTTTAATGATCTCAAGCCAGTCCAGTTCAAACTATTATCACGTGGTACAATTCTCATTTACATATTATGAATATTAATTAGCAAAAGTACTACTAATTTCTGGCTATGATAAACAAGGACATACCATATGCTCTATTTGGGCTTTTAACCGACATACAAGGCACAACAATACACTGACACAAAACAAGCATGCAATAAACAAGAACCGACATACAAGGCACAACAATACACTGACACAAAAAAAGCATGCAATAAGTTACATAAAAACACAAAATGAAGCATTATAATTAAGCATGGTAGAAATAAGCAGATTTATAAGCATGATAATTAAGGTAGTAGGATGAAAGCAAATATAAAAAAAAATGAAAGCTACAGTATGCGTGATTAAAAGCTAGTAAAACGCATAGCATAAAATATCAAAGATAGGATATGATCTAAATGGTAAAATTTAACCCCAAAAAATTTGTTTATTTTAGGTATGATTCAATTTTATAATTCGTTCAAATTTCATTTTTCGTCACTTTTTGTAAGTAAATTTAAGAATTGTATTTTAATCATATGATTTTTTAGCTAAAGCGAAAATTGGGGATGGGATCGGGTTTATTTGGACACAATTTAGCAAAGTCAAAATGTCTGCTCCCATGAACAATATTGGACTTGAAGTTTATTGGACATAAAGAAGTCTGCTAACTTCCATGAACTAACATGTGTAAGGTTTTAAGATGACACTAATTAACTGCAAACAAGTCCAATACAACCAATATTCAAATTTTTCCACAAAGAATAGCAATAGTCTTAAAAATATATGTGTGAAATCGTGCTTCATCTACCTTCTGGATCCTGTTTAGGGTTAGGGTTTGTTTTTTGTAATTGAGGGAGTTAGCTATGGATAAGGGTTGATTTAAGGTTCATCAGAAGATATTGTCAAATACGGCTGTGTTTCACTATACAAAATTCGTGGACATAAATTTTATTATATATTGATCATGTTGATTATAAAAAAGATGTGGTATGATTGCCAATGAGACAACTCTCCACAAGAGACCAAATAACACAGAAATTAACAACTATAGGTCGCTGTATGGCCTTGAACAATGAGCAAACCCCATACCGCATAGTCAGCTAATAAAGGCCCCAAAATGACAAATGTAGAACAAACGTGAAAACTAACGGCCTAATTTAGGTACAAAATAAGGCCACACCAATTTGATTAATAGTTCTTTGGAATTTCCCGCTCCTGTTTTGGAGAAATTGACTTTTCAATAAAAAAATTTCTCAGTCAGAATAATGCATGTGAATGTGGTGACAGGTATTTTAAGGGAATATTTTAATACATTGAGATCTAAATGCATAGCAATCAGGGTTCGACATTAACTTTTATACCAACTTGTCCAGTTGGGCAAGTGCCCTATTACTTTTACTTGTCCGAAAGTGAAATCTACATGCCCAAACTTGTACATGCTATTTTTGTGGTTGTAATGTAGTACATGCAGATAAAATATAGTTATCATGTATATGGGGTGTGTAAATTGATTATGGAGTATGAAAATATACTATGAGGCATATATGAGCCGAGGAGGGAGGGAAAAGATCGATGAATATACGGGAATTGGATTATTTACATAGAGATACTTATTTCATAATAATTTATCTAAGAAATGCCATTTCAAATAACCCTTCTTGATAAACTGACAACAACTGACAAATTTGTTAAAGTTTAATTTCATTTTCTCTTTCAAGCTTTTACGTTTTTCCATCTTAGGGAAATACACATCCGATGTCAAATTATAAAGTTAGAACAACGAAAATAGCCCTCTGCTTTCCATTGGTCGGTGGGAATAACACATGCGTCGGAAACGCCTGAGTGGTGTCCCGATGGATAACGATAATGGCGAAGCAACGCCGCGGCCGCCTGATTGGCCAATATTTTTAAACGTGATCTATTTTTGGTAAAATGGGGAATTCAGTGCGAACAATTGACGAAATATACGCATTGAAGGGGGGTTAAGACCACTTTACTCGACCGTGCGGTGTTATCACTGAGTAATCTATGGACAAAACAACAGACACTATTGATTTTGTGAAATTTTAATCATATAACACTTTTTTTCACTTGCCCGATCGGACAACCAAGATGATGTTTTTACTTGTCCGAATACGGCATTAGCTTGCCCCGGGCAATCGGACAACCGTAAGTGTCGGACCCTGGCAATATGACTATCTTACTCATGATGAAGTTGAAATATTTCCCTCACTCATTATGTTGTGCCTTAATATGGATAAATAGTTCCAACTGGATGTCAAGCAGCCAATTAACAATCATTAACATATAATGAAAACAACTATATCAAAAAATATTTAATATTTTTCAGGGGCATTTTTGGGGATACATACCCAATATACATAATTTAACTTTATTCAACATACATTGTATGTCATTTACCTAACTTGCATAATTCGTCTTGTCAAACTGCTTCTGCTATGCTTCCTTAATATATATATATACATGTATGGATTTAAATGAAAATTCATGCAAACAAAGCTTATTTGACGAAAATAATCTAAATTAATAAACCATGAGACAAGAAAGTTGGGTATGGTACAGGCACCAATAAATCAAATTTTATGCATAAGGGCATGTTTCTCCTCGTTTTTCTATGAAGTAACCCAGTTTTAACATATACATTAATTCTAAATCGCACAATTAAAAAAAAATTATACCGCTCGCTTCACCTTTAAAGCACCCGCCTCATAAAAACTCATTTTCAAGAAAAAAATACAATCAAAAAAATTTCTCTTGCTCGTCTCATATTTTTTGGAGCTTTTGTCCGAAGAACTACAAATCAAATTGGTGTGGCCTTATAAATAAAAAACAAATATGCAAGACCGCAACAAACGACAACCACTAAATTACAGGCTCCTGGCTTGGGACAGGCACATACAGAATTTGGCGGGGTTAAACTAGTTTGAAGGCGCCAATCATCCCCTTAACCTGCGACAGTGGTGTAAAAGTACAACATAAGAACAAACTATAAAAATCAGTTGAAAAAGGCTTAACTCATCAGATGGATACAAATAGAAATACATCTAACAAAAACACAGAGTGGACGTGAACGGGTACTTATACATCCCCACAACAAAAAGACACTATGTACAGATCTGAGAGTACTCGCAGTTACCATGGTTACTGACAGCTAGTTCAAAGCCAATAACAACTAATAAAAAAAAATCAGTAATTACCAGCCTCATGTTATATTACAATACGGATACAGTAACAGATAATTCCATTTACAAAATAAATAGTCCATAAGAAAGTGTCACAGCAAAAAAATAAAATTAGCCTTACAGTACATCATTATTATTTGGAAGTCCTACCAATCAAGGTGGCCATTTAAGGGCAAGATTTATTAAAATGTAATTATTCATAAAATGATAAAAAAAACTTATAAATTATTTGATAAGACAATAAAGGTTCATTAAAATAATAATTGTATTAAAACTTTTAATGCAATCATAAAAAAAGGGGTTTCCCCTTGGACAATTTCTTTTTTTGCCAACCCCTTTCGCCTAAACAATATTTTGTTCACCACTCTCAACTTATTTTGGCAACTAGCCTAAACAGATTTTTGTTTAGGGCCTGTTTTCCTTCTTTCTAACAATCAAATCCAGTTTGCAGCTTTATTGTTTATTTTATTATTATTCTACATATCTATTATATTATTATTCTACATAATCAATTTTATAACTTATGTTGTAATAAGATAAGATGAAGATATTTTATTTTCCAAATTAGGTCCCCAGGATGTAATCTTTACAACATATGGTATTTTACATGTTCATATAACGATGTGAAGTACCTTGTTCAAAACAATTATTTCTATCAAAGTTGTTATAACAATCCTTTAGGTGACATGTGAAGCCTTTTTACCACACATTTTCGTTAAACAATACAATTAATACCTTTAATAATTAGTTCATTGTTGTCGATTGCTATCAAATGCCTTCAGCATGTTTAGCTGATTATTGATTTTGTGTCAAAAATCGATATGTGTGACGAGTTAAATGTGAAGTCCGATAAACCTGAAACAAAATTAACAAGATGGACGAAGTCAAACCGTTATATTTCTTTCGCCAATCTTGATTTTTAATCGCCACAATTATATATTTTTTCGCAAAATGCGAAGATGATGACTGCCAGTGGAAACCCTGATAAAAATAGAAATGTCAGCATTAATTTAATACATTTTTAAAGCGTTGAGGATATCAAGCTAGATTTGGAGAATGAGGCCCAAGAACACAGTTCTTTCGTAGTGCATAGACAAAAAACGCAAATTATAAAAAATTGCACCTGCCCTATTCAAAAAAGATTTGTACAGTGTATTGCACTATGTTTGGGATAAATTATATCAAAATTATAGAAAACTCTATCAGCTCTAACTCAAAATATGGACAATTTAATGTTAAGGGGTCTATAATTCAGTTTGACAGCATCAGACATTCTAATTTTTGACCTTTTCAAACTGGACCAATTCACTACTTTACCTAAAACGTCCCAAATTATTTTAACATGTAATTTCATCCCCCTGCTTACTATTTTATGCATAAATTATATAAAGAAATAAATGTGGAAGGTGTATGAAAAAAAAAAGTTGTACACTGTCCACACTAGCTAGGGACTCTATTTGTAGACAACAAAAATCAAAGGACAATAACTGTCCTAGGACCATGAGAGACAACTCAACCATTACTGGGAGTAGTATACTGTCAATATATTATGTCCCAGATCATCAATCTCATTAAAATAGAGATTCAGTGTTCATGCAGCATTGCTTCCATTACAAGGATCTGATTGATTGATGGTGATTTCTTTATGCCACATCATACAAGGATCTGAAAACGCTCCATTCTACTTTCTGTTTTAACAAACTTACGCTCCAATTTTGGCCACAATCATCATTAGGGTATATTGTTCAAAAAAATGTGTCGGATGACCTCACCCACTAACTAACATGGCCGTCATGGCTAAACATAACAAAAGGGTAAAATGCAAGTTTTGTTTATTATCTTGAACCAGCTATACATAGAGAAAATCTGACAGGGTCAGAAATGATCAGAATGATGAGATCTACCAATTGTCTGTTTCCATCAAAACTGTCTGCTGACTTCTTATAGGAGATATTGCCCTTAAATGACGAATTCTACAAATTTTTTTTTCATTTTTGCCTATTATCTTGAAAATTAAAATAGATAGAGAGAAACTTTGAAAGCAAAAATGATCAGCAAGATAAGACCTACAAATACATCATTGTGGTACTCTACAGTGGTAGAAATCGTCAGAAGACTCCTTATTGGAGTCATAGCCCTTTAAGGTAAATTTAGGGGGGATGTCGTAAATTAAAGTCCGTAGAATTTTTGAATAATTTGTCAAAATGTAGCTATATCATGCTTTTTATCAAAATATAATAAAAAGTATGGATCACAGGGCTTTTTTTCACGCTAAAGGTTGCATTTCTGTAAATATTGACAATGTAATTTCCCATAGGAACTCCTTTTACAGCTAAAACTGTACCACTTTTACTCCTTTTACGGCTAAAACTGTACCACTTTTACTATGAAGTTTTGAAAAAAATCATATCCTAGAATGGAAAGTTCATATGCACTACAATTTTTTTCAAAGGTCAAAATATAGGGCTGTGCAGCATATTTTCA